TTCTCTTGTTTATTCAGGGGAATAGATAAGTCCCAAATTGCTTATGTGGCCAAGCAGGGTCCCACTGGCACTTCTAATCTCCTTCCTCCTCCCCTCCACATCGTGTTGCTGTCTGCTCTGATCAGACTTTAAAATACTGCTCTAGGCTGGGCGCGGTGGCTCATGCCTGTAATCCCAGCATTTTGGGAGGTCGAGGCTGGCGGATCACGAGGTCAGGAGTTTGAGACCATCCTGGCCAGCATGGTGAAACCCTGTCTGTACTAAAAATACAAAAAATTGCTGCCAGGCGTGGTGGTGGGCACCTGTAGTCCCAGCTACTCAGGAGGCTGAGGCAGAAGAATCACTTGAACTCAGCAGGTGAAGGTTGCAGTGAGCCACTGCAGTCATGCCACTGCACTCCAGCCTGGGTGACAGAGGGAGACTGCATCTCAAAAAAAAAAAAAAAAAAAGACTGCTCTAAACATCACCTTTTATGAACCTTCAGGCCTTCGCACATGCTGTTTTTTTTCTGCCAGAAACTCCCATCTTTCCTCTCTTCATCTGTCTACTTCCCCTATCATCTTTCTCAGCTCTAACATCACTTCCTTGGGGATGCTTCCTCCCGCTATGTCCAGGCCAGGGAGTCCAAGGTGATCTCCAGTAATTTCCTCAATCACAGCACTGAGCACGCCTTATGATCACAACCCATTCTATGTTCTACAGATCATCACATTTCCCAGTGCTTAGCACTTGCCACGTAGCACGAGTTCAACAGATATTATATTCTACATAAGAATAACTGAACTGGATGGTATTTAGTTCAATATAAGGGGGAACTTCCTAATAGTCATAGTTGAACAATAATGGGAACAGGCAGCCTCAGGAGGTAATGAGCTCCCTGTCACTGAGTATACCCAAGCAGGAGATAGATGACCATTTCTCAGGGAGGCTGTAAGGAGAGATCCATACAGAGTTTAAAAATGGGGACAGTGGCTCACACTTTTAATCCTAGCACTTTGGGAGGCTGAGGCAGGTGGATCTCTTGAGCCCAGGAGTTCGATACCAGCCTGGGCAACATGGCAACATACCAGCCTGTTTCCAATAAAAAAATTAAAATAAAACAAAGAATAGTGGATGGTGGCTCATGCTTGTAATCCCAGCACTTTGGGAGGCAGAGGTAGGAGGATCTCTTCAGGCCAGGAGTTCAAGATCAGCCTTGGCAACATGCAACCCCCACCTTTACAAAAAATAAAATATTAGCCAGGCATGGTGGCACATATCTGTAGTCCCAGATACTTGGGAGGCTGAGGTGGGAGAATCACTTGAGCCCAGGAGTTTGAGGCTGCAGTGAGCTATGATCGCACCACTGTACTCCAGCCTCACAACAGAGTAAGACTCTGTCTCTGAAAGAGGCCAGGTGCGGTGGCTCACGTCTGTAATCCCAGCACTTTGGGAGGCTGAGGCAGGTGGATCATTTGAGGTCAGGAGTTCGAGACTAGCCTGGCCAACATGGTAAAACCCCATCTCTACTAAATATACAAAAATTAGCTGGGTGTGGTGGCACACACCTGTAATTCCAGCTACTCAGGAGGCTAAGGCAGGGAAATCGCTTGAACCCAGGAGATGGAAGTTGTAGTGAGCCAAGAGTGTGCCACTGGACTCCAGCCTGGGTGACAGAGTGAGACTCTGTCTCAAAAAAATAAATAAATACATAAAAATAAAAAGGAAGAAGAAAGAAGCAGAAGGAGGAAGAAGGAAGCAAAAAGAAGAAGAAATAATAATAGTGGAGAATGCGCAACCTTGAGATCTGCTAGTTCTGACTGTTTGTATGACCTAGCATAAGCCTTTCCCCTCACTAAGCCTCAGGCTACCTATCTGTAAAACGGAGGCGATAGGCCAGATTTCTGAGGGGCCCTGCTGCTTTAACAACCCATGGTTTCATGAAGACCAGCTTTGTGCCCAGACATGTAAGGCATATACCAAAGGACAAGTTATTTTTTAACCAATGGTTGGTGAATGATTGAGTGTTGAATTAATAAATGAAGTATGTCTTTTTTGTCCCAATATCTTGCCCATAAGCCGAATGAAGAGTAATTCGAGGTTTGAAATTGTGCAAACTGGCCAAGCACAGTGGCTCATGCCTGTAATCCTAGCACTTTGGGAGGCAGAGGCGGGCGGATCACTTGAGGCCAGGTGTTCGAGACTAGCCTGGCCAATATGGTGAAACCCCATCTCTACTAAAAATACAAAAATTAGCCAGGCATGGTGGCGCATGCTTGTAGTCCCAGCTACTGAGGAGGCTGAGGCAGGAGAAT